TTTGTATGGGAGGTATCAATTAATCGATTCTGATTGGCTTCAAACTTCCTGAGGTTTCATTTTTTGGAGAATAAGTAAGATTCTGAAAGTTTCATCTTGATCGCATTTGCAGAAGTTTGATTTTTTGTCCTCAATTTTTGTGGAAATTTTGTTGGAAAAAATTGGGGGCCAAAAACCAAACTTCTGCAAATGCGATCAACACGAAACTTTCAGAATCTTATTTTTTCTCCAAAAAATGAAACCTCAGAAAGTTTAAAGCCAATAAGAATCGGTTTACGGGTACCTACCTTACAAAATTGTCGAAGTTTTAGTTAAAGTGACTGATTTTTCACTTCATTTTTATTATTTTATTTTCACTGCCTTTATTTCAAGAAAATTCACAAAAAATAACCAAAAGTACATACGGACAACGCAGGCTAACGGTACGGAAAAGTTCGGGATTACCAATGTAATTCTTTTTATTTCAATATAGCATCCAACGTGCCCGAATTCAATGAATATGCTTGGCGTTTCGGTGTGTGATGAGTGTGATCGCGGGATTTTGGTTCTAGATTGCACCTCAGCACCCAAAAAATGGAAATTAGGATGCAATTCCTGCGATGTTATCATCAACATTTTCAATAAAGCATCGAAAGTTACTGTCAATGACAATAAGCAATGCGATGAGTGTCAGGCACAATTGGTAACTGTCGTCTATAAGGTAGATCAAACAAAATTCAAAGATAATGCGGAAGAGAAAACTGGATGCTTATTCTGTAGTCCTGATTTCATACCATTGGTAGAAAAACATCGGGCCGTTGCCACAAAGCCGATACAAACGAATTCGACGCGCGGCGGAAGAGGCCGTGGCAATGTGTCTGTCGGTAATGGTACAGCGCGCGGAGGTGGTTCGAATCGTGGAGGTGGTCGAGGACGACCACCAAAGGACAAAATGGCACAATTGGCAGCTTATTTTGTTTAATTTTCAGTCATTTCGAAGAATCATCAAAATTTTCTTCTAAGTTAGCGAAACCAATAACAAATCACTTTTGTTTTTGTTTGGTAACATTGTATTCTCTAACCAAATTTACGCACAACTGCGTGCATGAATATTCGCGTGATACTCAATTCAATTGTATTGAATCCAAGTATTTACACAATTTTTCGATATTTTACAGCTTTGTTTTTTTTTTGTCCATGAAGTAGACCAAATCGAATTCGATCTATTTCTAAAGTGACATGATGAAAAAAAGTATAAATAAAGTATTAACATGAAATTAATCAGTTGTTCTATTTCAATATGTTGGTGAAAATTGAATATTGTTTTGTCAAACTCCGGCTTTTTTTCCAATTGAAGAGTCTAATAAATAATGCGGTTCAGACATTTTTCGGACTATATTGTCAGCTACGTTCGTTATGAATTATATACAAAGAATTTTGAAAAGTCCCTATTCCTATTGGTGTCCAAATCACGTACATCTCCTATAATAAAAGAGTATGACATAGATTGTTAACATATTCATGATGAATGTAACTACTTTATATTATTCTGTGAAGAAAAATGAACGGCAAAGTCAAAAATGTACCATTAGATTGTAAATTGAATGGAGACAATTTTTAGCTGGTGCATATTCTTTTATATTACGAGAATTCATAGAAATATTCCAGACAATAAGATAAATTATTTCTAGAGGTTTCTTTGAATAAGGTCTTCGACCGAACATCTGATATACAAAATTCTGTTGATTCTTGATTTTAAAGGTTTGTATTTTCTATAGTCAGCAACATTTATCTTTTCAATTTGTTCTGCTCTCCGTCAATTTCCCCCTTTATAAATATGCGATAAGTAAAATATCGATACAGCTTTGTTTTCAAGACAGTATTTCTGCAAGCAAAGCAAGAAATACGATACGAGTGCATTTTAAAATTTTCCACGTACGAAACGTCACATTTGCTAGTGTTGAAAATGAAATCCACTGATTTTCAGTGCAGTCAAGTTTCGACAATCGATCGCTTCACACATCACACCTTTGACAGCTATCATACAAGTCTGAATCATGGATCGCATTAATGCACTTCTGAATCCATCTCACATTTTATTGATGTACAAGTGTCGAACTTGCGGCGAGCTCAAGTCGTTCAAGAAGTATTCAACTGGCCGAGGTATACCATCACCACCACCGGAAAATTCTGTTCGTTGCCCTCGCTGCCGTCTACCTATGGAAAGCCTTGGTGTGGTAAGTATAATTTTAGCAGCAATCAATGATTCAATTTTAATGCCGAATTTTAACCTTTTTTTCTCTCAAATCCAGGGATTGCCCGTTCCACAATAAGCATGGAGACCGTATAGCTACAATGAAGAAACTACCACTGAACAAGTCCATTTTAATACTGCAGACAATGTCTGTCAGACTTATTCTACAATGAAAATCAAATAAAATCACTAGAAAACTCTGGTTGAAATTCAATGTTTGTGTTTTTTTTTCTCATTATGAGAAAAATCCGTAATACATTTCATTGGAAATCGTAAGTAAATAGCAATCGAAATAACGCACGTACAGCTGGAAATAATATTTTTTGCACTGCTCGGTTCTCAATCATATCAATTACGTACTTGTAACATTTATCTTTGGGATATGCGACTATCATCAACATTCGTTAGTAAATCAAAGTGTTTGGAACAAATGGAAAACATTTTCAAGAAACGTGTCATCATCTAACATTTTTACTGTGTCATTTTCCAATGCGTATCAACATAAAATATGTAGGATTTCGCATCAAAAAAAAAGTCCATCATGCTCATACAATTGAAAATTACTTCGTCTTTGAAGCGACAGATCATTTCTGCCAATTTGGCATATTCATCAGTCGATGGGTATTCGTTTGCAACACATTTCTAATGGAACAGTTTCTTCATTTCGAAATGGAAAATTATAATAATAATATCGTTAATTTTTAATAAATTGGGCGAAGAAAATTTCAATATTCTTCATGCATCTAATAGCTGATGGATTTTTCGCTTCGTCAAATTCATACTAGTTTTTTTCTACAACAGCCTATCGATAACATTTTATGCATCGCTCTCTTTTTATACGCATATACATATTTTATTCTTTTCATTGGCCGTGAATAGCAACTTATTCAATATGACTCTGCACACAGAAAAGAATCCCCGGAAATTTTGGGTGTTCGCCGTAAAATTTGACATTTATATATAAATTTCTACATACATTTTACCGGCAACACTTCAATTTTCCGGGCGATGACATATTTTCGAACATTTTATCAAATACTATGTATATTTTACCGCTTGAAATGACAGATGGCGCTAATTTCTGTTGGAATATTTGAAATTATGTCATCGCCCGGAAAATTCAAGTGTTGCCGGTAAAATGTATATAGAAATTTATATATAAATGTCAAATTTTACGGCGAACACCTAAAATTTCCGGGGATTCTTTTCTGTGTGTGGACTTGCGAACATTTGCTGAAGTCATGTTTGACAATGGGTTTTTTCAACATTTTCCAGAGAATGTTTTTTTTCATATTTCAACTGTCAAATTATTCATGCAGTCTGTGTAATTTTGCGAAAAAAATTTTTTTCTATAAACAAAAACACGGCATCTGTGTCAACCGTCGCACTGTGAGATTATCGTTTTCAGTTTCTGTCTCTTTCTCTGTGTCGATCAGCTGAACAGAGCATGTTGTTTATTGTGTTTTACTAACAATATACCGCATTCACTCGAACCGAGAATAATGTCCAGAAAAATACCGTTGGCTTGCTGCACGACATGGCCATTTTATGTCGCACAAATACATTCTCAGCTACCGTAGCTTAGCTGAGCTACGAAACAAGTGTCACACCACTTTGGCTTTTATTCACACCATCGCAGATGACGTTAATAAAGGCTCTTCGCCAAATTGTGTGTACGTGTGCGAATTGGTACGTACAATGGTATTGGTTGCATATAAGTTTGTGCTCCTATTGATGTCAGAATTTAACAGAACATTTGTCAAACAGAAGTGCATTTCGCAATAGAACAATCGCAAAGATTCCAGTATTTTTCTTGTGATTAAATTAAATAAAACACCATGTATTCTGGAGCAGAACGTTTTCCGAGGTTTGGTGGTAAAATTTGGATTGACGCGCATGGATCATGTTCGTACGAATGCGCACTTTGTAGGAATACATTTTTCTCCGCCGGTTCGTACGAGTTCCATAATTCGATGGCGCACAGTAACAATTTGAAGTCAAACGTATCGGTTCCATTGAACAACAATTGGAATGTGACAAAACCATCGTCATCACATGGGGACCGAGAGGTTGGACATTTTTCTGCAAACTGGTCAGCTCACGCAAATGCGCACAACGAATCAAATGATTGCAAGCGAGGACAAGAACAGTCCAACCAATTGATTTGCACCAAATGCAACAATCGTTATGACAATTTGGCGGAGCTTCGAGCACACGTCCTAAATCACCATCAGTTCGATTGCGTTTATTGTCCGAGAGGGACAATAAAAACGTATGAAACCCAGCAAGGTCTGTGGGGCCACCAGCGAAAGCATCATGAAGCTACATTTCCTTACCAGTGTAAGGTCTGCCCACGGGCATTCAAACGACGCGACGAATTGAAGGAGCACAAACAATCGAAACACGTTCGTGGCAATGATGTCCAGTGCGATTTTTGCTCGAAGAAGCTGATGTCGGCCTTCGCAAAGGAAAACCACATCAAAAAAGAACACTCCAACCGCCGCTACTATTGTTTCCTCTGCACTGGATACTGGTCGACAAGCCAAAAAAATCTACGACAACACATGAACAAGAAGCATCCGGGTCGTTCACAACCAAATGAATAGATGAAAAATAATCACGGGAACAAAAAATAATAAAATATTCCAAATCCAATATTTTCTAAGTGTCGAACACCTCTATACATATTTGATTCAATAAATCACAATCTTACCCGAATTCATTGACTTTAACATTGGATTCTAATACATGTAAGTGCTTGTTTATCTTTCAACTTCAGCTCTTGGTTCTGGCTCCAATTTGAGAGCACTGAATTGAATTTATGTGAAAACACTTGACGTGTTCGATTCGGTGAGTATTACATAAGGTGAATATACACAAGGATTTGGATTTATCTGCAACAGCAAGCAGCATCACTTGATATCCCCTGTAAAATAGAAAATTTGATTCATTTCTGCAAACCAACTCGGAGCTAACTTATGGAAAATGAAATGCAGATTCATTTGATGAGAAGAAAAATACACGCATAAGAATTATTTATTTGTTTGTTCATGAATTCGCTACATTCTTGGAAAAAATGGAGAATAATGTATTCAAAAGGAGGTTGTGAATGCAAAAAGTTTATTGAGTACGAAGCAATTGAGCTAAATATATGGTGAGGTTATTGTGTTATCTATTCAAAATTGATTATGACAACAGATATGCATAGGTTAGATCAAAAATGAAGCACAAGTAGTAAATTTATTCCAAAATGTTACGGGGAGTGTGTGTGTGTGTGTGTCACTATGTCATGGGTTCATTGACTGGAGTAAACGTTAATAATTGATCTTATGTTAATGATAGACTTTGAGCTCATTGTTTCGATGAAAATTGAAAAAAGTGCATTTGTAGTACGCCAATCGTTGACCCAGTTTATTGCGATAGATTATCGTCACAATCGTTTGCTGTAATGGATTTAATGACTGGAAGTGGTGAAAATAGTTCGTCGTCTTCTTCATTTTCCTGTGAGTCTTCTGGCTCGCCAAGTGCATGAACAAATTCATAAAAATCAATACGGCCATCACCATCGACATCAACCTCTTTGATCATATCCTCAACTATGGCAAAAACAAGGGGAAAATGTCAAAAGTCGATTCGTAATGATATCAAAAGTGAATCTTACTTTCATCTTCATCTAAATCCTCTCCCAGGCATTGTAGAACGGCTCTTAAGTCCGATGCAGTGATATAACCACGGTTGTGTTTATCAAAAACACGAAAAGCATCACGTAGCTCACGTTCTTCTTGGTCTGCTGACGACTCAGCCGTAGCATCTGTCATATTTGACAATATATCGACGAATTCTTCGAAACTCACATTTCCGTCACCTATAGGAATTTTGGCCGATGAAATCCAATTAGTACATACTATTCACAATGCATAATTTTTCAATCATTGAATTGAATTAAACGAACCATCAATGTCAATTTCTAACAGCATTTCTGTTATTTCTGTTGTTCTCGCAAATTGCCCTAAAGAACGCATAACACTACCCAATTCTTCCTTGGTGATTGAACCGTCACCATCCTTGTCAAATAAACGAAATGCTTCACGGAATTCTGCAAATAGAAAAAAACCAAACTCTTTGATGTGGAACTGATGGCATATTTTCTCGGGAAATATCGAGGAAAATTACCTTTCATTTGACTCTTTGATATCAATCGACGGTTATCCATAACTTTTCGCCCCGATGACGTTGAAAAGAACACTCCATCCGTGCTGGAGCCAGCGCTGCGACATGGGATCGGCGATTCAACAGAAATTTCTTGACTGCCATCGCAAGCGTATCGCATTACACTGCTTGCATCCGATATCGCGTCCAATTGCTCGATATTATTCTCATAATCGGTAGTCGCTGCATTCCGCTCATTGTTATGTCGAGTCTGCTTGAATGGAATTTAAATATTGCTTTGAATCGATTGCTTTTTCTTAATAAGACACTTATCGTTGTGCTCATTGTAGTGTGTAAACAACGGCGCCAAAGAAAAGAAATCGTCGATTACATTGCGTATATCAACGAGTCATGAAAATCGATAAGTAGACCATTTGAATGTCTATAGCTATATTTTTCTTCTGATTTTCATAAGAAAAAATAAAACTACCATCCTTGAGATGGATCGAATATTCAAACGTACCATTAGTTGCCTGATTTCCTTTGTTGATGCAGTGAGCGTTTTGGCGAAATTGTTCACCGCCGAAAATATTTTCCCTTCCAACGTGACGGTTTTTAAATGAAATGCTACACACACAAACACCTCGAATTCAGCGGTCGAGTATCCTTGAAGGTAAGCGTCGAATTTGTTGACTTGTGATTCGTTCCTATTATGACGACATTAAATTTCCTATAGTTGGGAAAAAGAGATTTTTTGTCACAGCTCGGGATGTGTGCCTGTCTGAGTTTTACTTAAGAAAGACAATAAATTGATTGACACATTCAATTTAAAAGGTCCGTATCTTTATTATTCCCTTGGAAAGATGTGTTCGCCGAACGACAACTTTGAATTGTGTACATTAATTATGGAGTAAATTGGTGCTGTTGTCTGTTTAATAGAGTTAATCAAGCTAATGAAAGTCGTTTGCTCTGTCTCCTTCTTTCTAATTGGGCTTAACTCATGGAATAAGAAAACCTATGTATTCACTGTTGTGTGTCGCCAAATAATCGAAAGAAATTCATTCTCTCTAATGATGTGCCATGTGAAAAGTAAACAATCCCCTGCTACAATGCGTCAATGGAAGCCAAACAATTGACAGAGCTCGTGGATGGATAATACTGTAACAAGAGTGCTAAAGACAACATCCGAAATTGTCAATATTGTGTATTACACTCGAAAGATTGCTCGAAATGAGAGTCTTTGGAATTATTCCGCTCCAATTCGATTGGCAGTCTTTTCTGCTATATGATTTTCTTTGTGTAAAATCTGCAAAAAGTCATTTATTTCGCATATTTGAATCCGACGTTTTGGATGAGTTCGTATTTCTTTTTTCCATATCGAAACTTATTTCACGTTGGTAAATAATATGGTCCATAAAAATTGAAGATAGAAAAATCTAACTTAATATTCTGATATGAGCATGCAGGGATTAGGTGCTACATGGAAGCACTAGTCATAATTTATTGATGTAAGATTTAGACATTACGAAACCACAGAGCGTGGATAAGACGTTGAGTTCAAACATTATGCTTTCCATTCCCAATTCGATTCCAGTTGTGGTAAGAGGAGGCTGAACCGACGCTGTGAGTGGGTATTAACCGAGACCTTGAGTGAGAACACCTCAAGGCTGTTTTATTCTCATGTACCATCAAACATTATCTTTGCATCGCTGTGAAACCCAAACGAGCGTAGTAACAGGTAATACATACTATAAAATCGTCGATGAAGCAATTCATTTTTCATCCCATAATTTAAGTTTCACATAAATATTTTACGTAACAATTCAACATGTACATCATTTGGAAAAATAAAAGTACGAAACATTTTGTGTTGATTTTTTTTCTCCATTTGACGATTTGTAACTTTCGCTTTGTATTGCTGACAGATTGGAGAAGCATTTATAATTCAACTACATGATACCATGATGTTTTTAATTTTCCATGTAAAACCAGAGAGAGAGAGAGAGAGCGAGAGAAAGAAAAAACTTTTATATTCTCCATCCGCTTTGTTATAGTCGGAAACACCACCCACCAATTTAAGCGAACAATCAACATTGATTGCATTTAATATTTTGCAATTGCACATACACACACAGAGGGAGAAAAAAAGTTGTTCTGTGCATAGAGTTGGGCATATGTTTTCAAATAGAACAGAAAAACCTTTTACTCAAGAGTAATCATTCACAAAATGCCAATATCAAGCGGGAAAAAAGAATAAAAACATCGTTTAAATGAATGAGAATCTGTTATGTTCGTAATGAAATGTCTGTCATTGCCGCCACTGTTGAAACCAAATCATTTATGTACACACTAAGCACTGCCAATAGCAGAACACACAGAAAACCGACCTAAGCATGCCAGGATGATACAGCTATTCTAACATTCTTATCACTTTTGTTTGCTTGAGCTTGCATGGATTTAATGAATACAATGTTACGATTGATGATGCTTTTTAACCCTTATGTTGCAGGTAACGTCTTTCGATTAAAACGCAAGCTATGAAGATTGACTGAACCGAATGAAATCATCAAAATATTTCAGCACTTAACATGCATGAAAACGTAACTAAAACTGTTTGCTTAATGTATCTTCATTCTAAGTTTGCGTAATGAAATTGTCAGCTGGAGCGTTAATCCGTTTTCAGTGAACGCAAGTAAATGAACGTAATTATCCAAGCTCTGACCGATTTAATGTTGCAAATCCATCTAATGAAAATGCTGTGCTAAGGTCTGTAGCACTTCTGCCAGACGCTTGTTTTAATGCATATTTATTTAAGACATCTTCGCCACGAGAGACAATTAACAAGCTCCCAAATCAGTTCAAGCTTTTATGTAAATATACAACAACAGCAACAGCAACAGCAAAAAGTTTCTTTCTTTCTTTTTGCTTTGAAAAAAAGGTTTTTCAAATACTTTTTTGTATCCTCTTCAGTTGGATTTGAATATATTATTATTTCCATCATAAAATATTTGCGCACACACAAAAAAAGTTTTATCGTTTTTATTTTATGCATTCACTCACTTTTATTCTTGTGGCATTTGTATAGAAATTGAAAGAGAAACCTGTGTTGAATTGTAAATTCTATTCACTCGTTTTATCACACAAAAATAATGAAAATAACTTCTGTCGACAGATTGGCAAAGAAATTTGATTTTGTCTTGCGCTGAGGGATGAACATCAAGCGACGGAATATGGATGAAAACTGAAACTTTGCCGTGCATCCCCCATGATTATATAGCATTAAGATGCGGAGAAATTGATGCATGGAGATGGATATTGAAATGAGAGCAACTTGCCGCGCAATTTTCATTGTAGCAAAAGTTCCGTATGTACGGCACGAAGGGGGAACTAAAGCTTCAGGCGTTTTTGTATCAGAAAGCTACTATTTATTTTATTGTGGGATCGTGCGCAAACGCAACGGCAAACACTTTTATTTTACATTGAACACCATGTGGATGGATGCAGTACAAGCGGCAGCGATACTGAACAGAAATTAAGCCATCGAAAAGCACAAAATAAACATCTTCCTCTTGCTCGTTTGCTCTTCGGCAAACAAAAAATATGAAGTTATCATTTAATGATAGAGCGATGTTTACAAATAATCACAATGATGGGTGATGGTTTTTTTCTCGTCGCGCGTATTCAGAATAAATTTATATGTATACGTATAATTTCAAAACATTTCGTATGCATATCTGACGAACTGTTTCACAATGGAATATTTAAAAAACCATCTCAGACATTCCGCTATACATATTTGAAAAGTTGGGAAATTAGTTTCGGAACAACATTCTCGCGTTTCCGAATATTCAACAAATATTTATATTGAATTTTCTGCTGTTTCACACCATAAAGAATGCATTGAAAGTTTGAAATATGTTCAGTAATCATAGCATTGAAAATTTATTCAAAAAAACCACAAAAACTTTGATATTAAATAAAATAGTTCCAATTTAGTATGAACACGTTGCTTACCCGATACTCATGCTCCTTTTACTCGAACACTGTTGAGGTTGATTGTGTCTTCGAATAAAATTGAAATCCAATTTTGTCATCTTGTTTTGAATTTTAATTTTTGTTATCATATCATTTTTACAATTCTTCTTATGAAACTGGGGTTGTTTCCCTTTAATTTTATTAAAATAACTTAGTCTTACGAAGAAAAAAAAATGTAACACTCCCGACTTCATTTCATAGCTACATGTTGTTGCTTTAACTTAACTATTGAAACAATGTAAACAAATGCTAAGGTCCGCATTTTTTCATAGCTGCAACATTTTCACCTTCATGTATGAAAGGCGGTTATCAGTATTCGGTTTGTGTGAGATCTAATGATATTCAATATCACCATCCAATGAACAGTACGTATCGACCGGTATCTATTTAACGATTTGCAAATCGAGGCCGTTGTCCAGCGGGAAGTGGTGGTGGTGGTGGTGGTGGTGGAGGTCCAAAGTTTATACGATGCATCGGGAAGTTTCCTTTAAACAGAAAAAAATATAATGATGAAGTTAGAATGTTTTCGGGATGTATGTATGATTGTAAACTGATGATTTACCAGGATTGTTATTCCCATTCGGATTGAATCTCTGTGGTCCTCGTAATGGCATTCCTCCCATCATAATTGGTGCATTCGATTGCATTGCATTTGGAGGTGTCGATGTTTTAGGCGGCATCCGATAATACACAGTCCGTGTCTCTAATTGTGGATTCGGTTCGCTATCATGTCCCATGCGCTGAGTAAAGTGGCTAAAATTTGCCATCGATGTTGGTGGTGGTAATGCTTCATCTATTGATTTAATCATGTCAAATCGAATGCTTCAATTAGTAAGTTCAATTGAGTGTACCGGTAACAAACGACATCTAACTACTTTTTATACGTAAAGAATAATAATCGCAAACACAAACTACGAATGGAAATTACGAAAACAAAGCACCGAAGTCATCATATGTTTGAACAAAGACCCCTATTCCGTAACTATTGATGAAACGCATCGATTCGATCCATTTCATGCTCGGTTCCATCGCTTCGACCCATATAGCCATGGCTATATTTTCAAAAAAAAAAAATAATGCGAAAACGAAATGTTTCAAGAGCCTTATATACGAATAAGAACCCAACGATGAATTTCCCGCAGCATCATTTGGTTCATCTTTGGTCCAGTGCGTATGAATTTCTGAAAAGTTTTATTTTATCAATTTTCACAAAACATTCTGTCTAAATTGCACTCTCACACACCACAAATAAATTGATCCCTCCAAGTACACGTATACGTTTTGTGTCTACATTCGTGAGGACAACTTTCTACGCCAATTACTTGTTATCTTAGACTAGATATGTCGTTTCAATTTTCAATATTTAACAAAACGAAAATGTGTCTCTTTCTCAAGCATTCAATTTTCAATCACATCATTTCACAGACATACAAATCATTGCATACGTTCATAAGGTTGTGAATCTCACGAAGGAGTTCATTTTCTGTCCTTTCAGTTTCTCAATCAATTCTCCGTAGTGCAATCCTAATGTGACAGTCAGTTCAATTCGAATCAAAACTATTACAAAAGAAACAAAACTAGAATAATAATTAAGAATGATGGTGATGGATGACCCCAGAAAAAGTGTCCACAGGTGATGCTGATCCAGAGATTCTGAAATCTTATACCTAGCTTACTACCAATACTAACTTATGTGCTAAAATGTGTATTTGCATTCGAAAAAATAGTTGACAAAAGTTTTAGCTAAATATAAATGGGATTTTGGATTTTTAAGCATTTCTCATTTTCAAGATGAGAATACAATACCTTGGACATTAGAAGTGGTCACTGTGGCTGGTGTCGGTGCTAACGATAAACAACCACTGTTTGATGTATTTATCGTAGCATAATGCTGCACATGTTGTGTTCCACCATTATTCGATCTAAGCAATTTTAATTGTTATTTATGCTTTATTCATGAAAAATTTAATATATTCAAATGATGGGCACTTTGATGTGGTGGAATATCACTCAAAGTTGCTTAAAATTTTTGAAACAAACAACCAAAACATAAACTGATATCTGAATACCAATCTCAATTCGAATGTATAATTTTAAATTATTTATAGCTCATTGAATTTTCTTCTTTTAATAAATTCATTACATTCAACGAATGGATTATTTATGTGATCGATCAGAAATTGGTGTTCCGTTTATGTTTGAGTTGAGGAGAAAAATGTGATTATTCAAAGAATACACTACAAAAATATATCCCTAAATTGGGGAATTGAGGGAAAAAGGAACAATATTAAAATTAGAAGAATGCTGTTAATTTGAATTTTTTAACGAGACTTTTGTCGCAAAAGTTGATGTTTTCCAAATATCTGAATATTTCTTTGTCATGTGTTTGTTCAAAATGTTTGTGTTCAATTTTTTTTCTGAATGTATTGATTGATTTGGAAAACATCGATTCAAATTAGAAATTATTTGGTTTTGATTGTCTTAAATTCTAACATATTATGTATTTTAGTTTTAAAAGAACCCTGCACCGTATTTCCTTAATTTTCAATTTAAACTTTTTCTTTGTTTGTCATTTTCATTCTGCATTACTCGCAAACTCCGTTACTTTGGTAATAGTCAAAATATAAACTCAGCCAGATAATTACGTTTGTGCTATTATCTCTTAACATCTGCCCGAAAAAGCATTAAAATTATGCAAAAAATTATGGCAAAAATTGAAAATTTTCTGAAAATGTATAATATTATTACATTGTATATCGAATTTCTGAATTTTTATATCGAATCCCCGTAATTTGGTCTAACTCTTTTCTTTTTGATCGAATTCATTCTTTATGCGTTTGAGTAGCACATGAATTAAGTATACTTAATTGTATGAAATTGAAAATAACTTTGAAATAACCTTGATAATTATTTTTCTTTCAATACTGAGAACTCATTAAAATGAAAATCAAACTCATTCGTGTTTTGTGCGTATAAAATCGATTCCATTAAGACTGAAGTTGTACGGAAAAACAAAAAAATTCAATAAAACACAAATCACAGGCGAGTTGCGATTGTTTCAACCATTTTGAAGCGCAATCAGAAAATGGTTGGTTTTGATGCTATAGATATGTTCTTTTAAGTCCATATATGGAAGTTTTTATGGTACGTAAAGTCTCCCATTATTGAGATTTGAAACCATCGAGACTCGCCTGTATAGGCAAATCATAATAATTTTATATATCACTTATGCTAAGTATTATCGCTTAAAACCTAACTTAAAATACGTATTTACGCTCTATCCATATAAGTATCAAATTTATGCGGAATTTTTATGAAAAAGAGAGAAAATGAAATTCTTACCCCATGCCCATTCGAGGCGGTAACAAATGTTTGATTAGACCTTGATCATCGTCTCCATTCCGTTTTCGTTTCAGGTTCATACGTGAGTCTTCCATCTGTTTGTAGATAGAGAAAGGGAGTTTGGTTAGTTATATCAGAATTAAAATTGAAAGAATTTCATAAATTAAAATCGCGTACCTGTTGTGGGTATGGCACTGGTTGCGGTACATTTTGTACTGAAAACGGTATTCCATTTAGTTTTTGTTGATTTTCGTTGATCGATTGTTGTATTGACTGACTTAGTTGTTGATTTAACGATTGGTTCATCGACTGATTTATGTGCTGTATCTGAGTTTGGAAATTTGGTTGCGGCTGTTGTTCGATAATTTGTGGGTTTTCCACAACTTGCGATGGTTGCATCACTTGTTGGAATTGAACCGATTGAACAGACATTGTGGGTGGTGCCATGTGCGGATTGAATATTCCTTTGTGAACATGAACACACAAACACATTAATTTCAAATCAAAACAATTCGATCATTTTCCAGTCGATTAGAAATAACTTACTTGTTGGTTGTTGGGTGCGAATATCTGCGGTTTGGCTGACCGTTGGCGTTATAATCGCTTGATTACTAACCATGACAATTTCATTTGAACCCGATCTGTTCGGTGAAAAATTGTTAACACTTAAAATCCGCTCTGAATTTTTCAATATTCGATTTAAAATTACCTAGCTTGTGGCGCAGTTGTTAATTGAAAACTCTGTACATTTTGTGGAACTTGTTGAAACGTTTGATGCGGATACTGAGTATTGACAAGGAAGTGTTGACCAGAAGAAGACACATGAATTTGATGCTGTTGGCCGGGCGGTGCGGCTTGAATTTGTTGCAATGAAACTGGATTATAGATTTGGTGTGTATGTGTGCCAGCTGGTTGTGTGGAGGTGATTATCGTGTTTCCAACGATATGCTGTACACAGGATATTGGAGGTGGCACTGCCATTATGGGAGCGGACGTAAATCGAAGTGGTGGTGGCATTTGCATTGAAATATTTGGTCCATTTGTTTGTAAATTTTCGATGCCGTCATGATTGTCACAGTCAGTTTTATCATCAAGTTTGAGTTCCGGACTTGATTTCTCATCTTTTACATTGTTTTCCGCTTCATTTTCGTTTGTTAGGATTGGATTTGGTTGAGCCTCTACCATATTTGGCGGTGGATGAAATTGTAACTGTTGCAGTGGAATCTGCCCGGGATTGGTTGTCGTTTGGAAAATGATGTTTTGTTGTTGTGCTTGCACTTGCATTGGTGGCGGTTGGTGCTGTATTATATTCGGCGGTGGAACAGCCGTAATACATGGATACCTAAATGAATTAAGATACAAGTGTGACTATTCAATCTTTATTTTATTGGGAAACAATTTTTTCTGCTACTCACGCTGTATTTCCCTGAACAATATATTGCTGTGATGGTGGTCTAACGGTTGTTTGCTGCGTGGTGAAAGTGTTCAACGGTTGTGTTTGCTGCACAATCCCCTGAGGCTGATAAATATGCTGAATTGTTACGGCATTTTGTTGTTGGCCAGCATCTGGTGGCGCCTGTTGAATGTACTGATAGTTTGTCGGCGGTTGATTTAGCACGATTTGTGTTGGCTGTTGCTGTAATTGAATATTTGGAGGCGGTTGCGATAATTGAACTTGAGATGGAACGAGTCCCGGTTTCATGATGCTAGAAGGCGGTGGCACATTCAAATTTGTCTGTAAACTAGTTTGAACTGGTTGCTGGATAACCATATTTCCGGGTAAAATTTGCTGCTGTATTATTTGCGGCTGACTATGCGAGGCAATGGTTTGAACTGGGGTTGCGGTCACCATTGTTGGTGTATTTTGCGTAACTATATTTGTCTGCTGAACCAATGACGGATTTACCGTTGTTATTTGCTCGACACTCTGCATTGACGGCGGCGGAACGGCCAGCATTGGCGGGGGCACTGACATTTGTGGTATCACAGACTGCGCTGATATCACCTGTAATTATTCATTCAAAAGATGAAAAATGCTCAATTTTCGTTTAACTTTAGATATGGAATTGAATAAAATCCAGAAAAAAAAATGCCCGGTACTAACCTGAGTGTGAGTCGCTTGCATATTTTGTACGGGTTGTTGTGTATACTGTATGCTTTGGACTGACGCAGGTGCTTGCGCTGATGCTGGCCTAGGTGGATTCATTTGTTGAAAATGTGCCAGCTCCTGTTGCAGTGTTTCTATTAGATTTCGGGCTAATTGCTTTGCATTTTGCAACGCCTCTAAACGAGTATGTTCTATATACAAGTGCATTGGTTCGGGCGATTCAATGCCGAGCGCTGGATCAATGAATAATGATCCTCGGCCGCGTAGCGTGGCAACGGCGCCAGTCTCATTGCGAATATAAATCAAATTTGCTCCACCAACTCCAATTATTTGGGTTCGTAAATCGAAAGCGGCCGGAGCATGATCTAGGCCAATCATCAGTTTTTCCACATATGTCGAACTATTGGTAAGTGTGGCGGTTGACATCACCGTTGGCGGAGGACGATTCATGAATTTAGACATTTTTTTTTCATCTATTTATCTAAATCAGAAATTGAACGAAACAATTAGAATACAAATGACATTTCGAATGATAGACTCAATGCAACTGAATGGAACTATTGCTACGGTTCACAGCGTTGCATTCTTGGATTTTTGGACGCAATAAACTTGATGATAATTATTTTGTTGATTTGGCGGCACTTAGATACAATGAGTTTGTATCACTTTGAAATATAAATAGCGTGAAATGTTTATTGGTTTCACAAATAAAATTGTTAGTGTGATTGAGAATATCATTTTGAGATGTGATAGCCCGTTTGCTATTTGACAAACAATGAAACCGTTAATCAGTGGCGACGAAGCACGAAATAAGCAAAGTAAACATTTAAATCGGAATAAAAACAATATGCAAATGATAAATGGCGGTATGATGATATATTTAGTCAAATCGAACTCATTTTTCAATAATCCATATGCTCGAATAACAAAAACGTTTTTGTGTCCAATAAATGTCACATATTTTGCCATTCCATTGTAAACTCACCTAAAGAAATATATCTGTGAATCACAGCTGTAAGCGAAAATAAACACAACACCAAGCAAAATACATAAACTCTTTTATAAAAAAAAATTGATCACTTTGTTCCGTATTTTATCTCTTTCTATTATTCTTAATTCGATTTAAATCAATAAATGGGCCTTCATTAGGCTCTTTGATGTTACGTATTGTCGGAGATCGGAAGTAATTTCCTTCTCAATCACTCTCCCTTTCTTTTCATGCAATCATTTTGGTGTTTTTTTTTTTTAAAAAAAAACTTCTTCTTTTTGACACACAGAAAGTGTTTTGCAAAACTAGAACTAAAAATTTTCCAAACACTTATAAAGGAAGGCGTCATATACGCTTGATGCACACATTAAACGCGATTATTTTCAAGGTTCTTCATTTTTTATTCACACTACATTTCCGTTGAATAATCACTCAAATTCCAATTTATCTTCTTGTTTTATGGCACTTAACTGCGATTTATTCTATCAATTGCGAAACTGAAATAATCCATTTTGCACTCGCAGTGTTGATGAAACAAAAAAGAAGAAGAACAAAAATAACAACAGCAGAAATAGAAATGCGTATGCTCCTCTTTCATTCTACGTTTCAGCCATTTTTGGTATAAAAGTCAAAGTGCTGAATAAAACAACAAACGAACCAAACACCAACACAATCATTTCAGTTGGATGTGCTTGTGCAATTTCATTTGGCTTTGATAAACATAGTTGAGATTAGAATATGCTCGATATATTGAAAACAACTGATGAAGAATACGAATATTTCTCTACAAATTCAATTGTAATGGCTGATAGATTTATTTATTGAAAAAATATATCAATATTTTCAGATGGAATCAATACACAGACGATACTTTGACAGTTTGACAATTGACTGACAATACACAAATGTGAGGTTATGTTGTATTTCATTCGTATTACTGTTTACTCTATAGGAACAGACGTAAGTGCTGGTTCATATTAATGCCGTTTCTGGTCGAAAATTGGAAAGGGGAAATTTTTCATGAATGAATTCCACTATTTCGACCAGTTATTTTTTTAACTGAAGAAATACCCGAATGTGATCATCGTAAAACGGTATTACCGAATATAATTTATTTTTTTTCGATCAATTTGGTCTCTCCGGCTAAAGATACCTTGAAAAATCAAATGTTAAGTATTTTTTTTAAATCAAATTTATACAAATACAAAATTACAAGGGCAATAACTGCGAATACCGCAGAATTGAATTTATATAATTTCTAGAGAAGATATATTTGAAACGATTTCATAAACTAGGTTTTTGGGATATTTAAATCAATAAAATAATCTGGTATAAGAAGTATCATGAATTAAATTTTTTCTATGATTTCATTATTTAATTTCAGAGTGTATTTTAGTTATTTCATTACTTTACAATGTTTTCTTAGAGCACTTCTTGTTCGGAAACTTCCCGTTTTCAAAATTTTCATTTGATATCTCTGCATTGATTGATTCTAATAATATATTAATTTTTCTAATTCCAGCGGCATATGTCCGTTATAAACGTTGTATTGTTCAACGAATAATTGTGCTAAAATTCGTCGAAAATAGTCGAAAAAAGCCGAAGATCAATTGGCTTGAAATAGTAGTTTGCAACACACCCTGTTTGTTAGCATGCAGTAAGTATACAGGAAAAACCCCAAATCGTGTGAAATAGATGCTACCAACCGAACGGACCATGCGCAAACAAATGACATGCATAGCTTTTCATCCGTTTGAATTGAGATTCTGTCATCGTTTGGCATGAGCTCGCAAGGAGCGCACATTGCACACTACCACATGTGTGTTAATGGTTAACGAAAAAAAGGATGACTAAATGTATGCTTTGAAATTCAAAACAAAATCACTGTATTCGTCCCGTTCTAGCTCTTTGACAGCATTCGCTTGTCATTCATTGAAAACCATTATATGGGTCATATTTCTTCACTGCTCCTTAGCGGTGTGATGGTGTACGGATGTGCGCGGGATACATACCATTGTCTCACTCTACTCTGTCGACGAGAGCTTTTTCGTTGGGCTGTAGCAGCAGCTTTGCTGTTCCTGTGTTGCGGACTGCAGTTTAAACGAGCCACCATACAGAACGGGCCGGGCCATCGTACGTACAAGTGCTTCATAAGAAAAAAAAAAAGAAAATCGAAGAAAATTAGTATTTTAATTTTATTTGTGTGAAAAAACTTTAGTTTTTTAACGTTTTCTGTTCTGTGCGTGTTTTATGAGAACCAACATCACGGATTTACCAATCAAAAGAAGAAGAAAAAAAAAGAACAAACCAAAACGATTCGGAATAGGAACTTTTTAGAATGAACGATTGAACGAAAAAAAAGAGAAACTCTTCTAACTAATTTTTGTTGTGTGTGCTACAGGATTCAGAAACAGTTTTGTGTAAGTGAAAATCGATATTTATACGGTTAATCGAATACGGAGGAAAAAGGGGGGAAAATATCATAAACCAAATGAATAAAAATTACCTTGTGCTAAGAAATGTGCGAATTTTTTTCTCGTTCAAAAAGAAGTGAAAATTCGAAACCATTTTTTGTCGCTATTCGTGTTTTATGGATCGTCTTTGAAAATGAAATATCAATGCGACGAGAGTTTTTGTTTTTTGATTTTTTAAGAAAAATCTAAATCAAATTCAAAGTTTTGGAATTGATTACATTTCAACGAGTGGTTGTGCGAACAACGGAAAAGTGGAAAAACCAAACACATTTGCTTGCATGCCACGGCGAATACTACACACGATTCACTTAAATTGAAATACCAAATCAGTCGAAATGAATGTGGACTATTTTTTTGTTCCATTCACGGATGGAATATTTGTGGTTCCTTTACTGTATAGTGACACAACATTTTCAACAATAAATACGATGCGTTCAAAACCATGTTATCAGTGAATTTCTTTTCCGTTTCCTCGTAATTTCGGGAACAAAACAAAAGTAACTTAAACGAATTTCGAGTTGGAATTAGTTACTTTAATTGCAATCGTCGATCGTTTTCCACTTAATTTATTCTATCCTCATACAAATCAGTATGGTCATAGAAATTTCGTAATTTTTCAAGCCGTCAACACGAATGATTAAATAACATCCAAAGGAAGAATCTCTTTGATAAAAGGAAGCAAATTACATAACTGAAACGTTCTCTATGTTCTATGCTGTTCGGAATGATCGGGGATGAGGTGAAATAATAGCACAAATAGTGACAATTTGGTATTGTGTAATAGTCCAATGAGTGGACAATTTGCTATATATACGTATGTATGTATGTGGGCATACTCGTGTTCTATGAATGGAAAAAATGCTGTGTATAAAAAGCGATTCAATTCATTTTGCTTTTATTCCTTGTACCGTTTTTCCTATCCCACTGGTGACGGTGGAATTGCAATAAATATGTATGTATTTATATTTCGTACAACATCGGAATTCCCATTTCTTTTATAAGTCATCAACATACCGAAAGAACCATCAAACTCAGATCCAATGACAAACATTATAAAAGGTCTTATCACGAATCGAAAAAGTTTCTCCACGAAAAGCTGAATAAAAAAAACGATTGAATAAAAAATAAGGTGGGTTTGGAGGCAATGCGCCTGTATCTGCGTGGTTTTACATAGTGAACAAATTATCGGAATAAATGACGAAGAAGCAAAATGGAAAATATGAAGAAAAAATAGCTCAACGGAAACGAAATAATCAACAGAAATAAAAAAAGGAAACCAGGCACATACACGGCAATAATAATAAAAACGGAAAAAAATCGATGGCATTGCGTGAGTCAAACGCGAAACGAATGAGCTTGTGTGAAATTTGCTTGGATTGGCTGCCATGTACGAACGAACGAAAAAAAATAAAGAGAATAACCCGAACGAAACATGAAAAGAAATACTGCAAACGAGTAAAGCGAATCAACCCATAAAATGGAATGTTTAAACAACCACCATCGTGCACCAAAAAAGGAACGTAGCGACGCGAATTTCTACCAAAGCCCCAAGATTTTCGAAAATGGAAATTCCAGCCAAAAAGCGTTTAATTTTTGAAATAACTCATTAAATTTTCTAACGCCAGTCGATGTGATTGAAATGTAAATGCTTACGGTTTAAAGTGTGTGCCCTTATGATAATTATTTGTATGAATATTGCATTTGGAGTGAAGTGTCATCACGGCACGAACGGAAGGGAACATAACTGAACTGAACTGAACGATGCGAGGCAGTGCGGACAATTGTGTGCTCCAGCTATGAGTTTTCATACGAGCACACACATCGTTCAAGAATCATACAGTTGCCATACTTCAATGACTTAATCATCTGCAAAACACACGAAGTTGTCAATCTCGCACATCTCATTTGGGGTCCAAACAATTTGGCAGGATCTCACTCCTGCCCTCGCTTTCTCGTTATTTACATGGCGCCATGTTTTTGCAAATAAATAGTAATGAAGCAATTTTGTGAAAATTTCCCCCCATCCTTGACGCCGCTGCTGTTCACTCGTTCGCATCTAATCAAGGCACTCTTGAATTGATTCCGTTTATGCGCTGTCCCCTTTACTCCAATGCATCGCGTCCCTTCTGGAATTTGTTCATAAAACAGCGATTTTCTGCTTGTTTGCATGCCATAAAAACCCACCAAACAAATACCCAAAAGCGAAATCGCACACATTTTTTGGTGGTGGCTACTTGCGTAGTAGAAGCGTCTTACATCCCCCCACACATACATTGGCCATGTGTAATTTGAGAACGGATTTCGCCTGCAAACAGAGAAAATGTGTTATGTCATAGTTTTGGTGAAATGAAGAAAAAAGCTTAAAAATATAATTATTGGCATAGTCGAATGGAATGCCGTAAGCACGGTGATCCTAAGTCTGAGCTAACGAATGGAATCATAAAAAGCTTTCGTTCCGCATTCGTGTTTGTGTAGTTTCATTTTCGTTCCGCGCGCGCCGTTTGTATCCGACGAATGCGGGACACTACTCACATGTCATCCTTTTTCTTCCATGTGTCCACCACGACGATAATCCAGCAATGAAAAAAAAGAAACCAAGTTACAACTAAAACATACAAGGCAAAATCAGTGACATCGTTCGATTCGAATTTCGGTGTTTAAGTCTCAACTAAGTATCGTGTATAGAAATCGTGTTGTGCAAGCAAAAGTGTATGTGTGTGTGTTGGTTTTTCATGTGATGGCTTGATTAAAAATAAATTTCAACGAATCAAATTTTTCGTTTTGTAGCAAAGTTCGAACATAAAGAAATCCGTTTCCAAGTGAACCATTTGGGATATAAACAAGTGCAAAAGTTGTGAAAATACGAAGAAGTAAAACGAAATCTTTGAAGTTGAACGTATTTTTTGTTCGGTGCGAATCGAGAGAGAGAGAGAGAGAGAGCGAACGAGAGTTGTGTGCGTGTGTTGTTGTTGTTGCTCTCCGAATTTCGGAGTCGCCGTGTTAAGTGACAGAGTGAGCTCGTGTTTGTATTCAACATCATCGTCATCATCGTGCGCGTTGTGTTGTCATTCACTACCACAACAAAGCCCAGTGCCGTCATTAAATATAAAAATACACACAACGCGACAAGGAAAAGTCTTTACGTGCGTCGTGCTCGCAAACGACGTTTATAGTGTGAATATATATATTCTCGCGTAAGGAATTCATTTGACCCACCCAAAACTTTTTGTGTGCGCGCGTGCGACCATACCGCACACACTTCATATCGCAAATAACAATCATTTCACCGAAAGAAAAAGGAAATTTATTTATACGGATAAATTGATATTTTCGGATTTAGTTGCTGAAATTCATTTTTTGACATCGTACGTCTAAGTTTTAACTGGTGAGTATTGGATTTCAGTTTTCGATGCCTGTCGAAATTTGAAACTTTTCGTTTTCCCAACAATATATTTGAACAAACGCGATTTGGCTCACGACCTATCAAGGAGATTTCTGAGTCATGTGCAAAGCGGACAAACGATTTTGCGTACGTTTGCGTTCCTGGAAGCTTCGTTCGTTTTCATTCAGACGCTTTCAAACGTTAGGGGGAGAGCGTACGTTTGTTGACTTATGCTTCGCCAACGTAATCGTGGCATAGACTGTCTGTATGGTGCTTTCAAACGCATGAGCTGGTTAGACGACGTTCCTTCGCAAGATACTTTACGGTCGACGATTGAAGTGTCCTTTATGCTTCTTGTTCCCTCGGTTCGGTTCCGTTGCTAAATTTTCGTGGAATTTCTGCGAAAAGTTCACTGCATGCAGAAGTTTTTTTTAATAGTCATTCCGTTTTGTACGAATTTCGAATGTTAGCTTTTTTTCCATTGGTTGCCTAGGGCTTGTGGTTTAGATTTATTTTCATGATTTTGAAAAGAAAATAGTATAATATACATCACTATAGTAATGGTAAATATTCGTTGAAAAAAAATAGAATTCCTTGAATGAAAACATATTCATTTTGTGATATGACAAGAGATTCATCAGAACTCGTTTCGAAACTTCCGAATGGGTAATTTCGCAATGATATTAAAAGCACTGTAGAAACACAGCAGTGGTCTCGTTTGTAAATTCCAAGTATTCACTTCCGCAAAAACGAACCTTGAATTTATCCGATCTTCATCGCAAAACATGCCGGATAATACAGCAGACAAAAGCCTCAAATTCACGCATCAAATATATCAGAATAGCTAAGCTATTTAAAGTTCATGACATGCATAAGTTATTCTTTTGATATTCGCTGAAGAATCGTAAATTCTTAGAGAATATTCTCTTACGAAATTATTTCGCTACAAATGTCAAGTGTATACAAACGCAAGGAGTTTCTGTATGAAAATTCCGATGAAGTTTTGGGAGTGCCAAAATTCAGAAAGTTTCAATAAATGAATTTTTATATGCACATGAAATGTATTTTCAATTTCGAGCTGGTATGCTATTCACTAGTAGTGCTCAAATTCATAAAATACTATGTTTTTTTATAACACATGCGACCTTGTGCGACAAAGATATAGCTACTAAAAATAAATTTGATGTGTTGAGCGCACGAACACCAAAAAATAACAAAATAAGTGCGTAATTGTGACTGTTGCTTTTATTGAAATTTATGGCAATGGTTTGTCTCTTGTGCGCAAATAATTTTTAATTTAGATACATAACAAACGACCACTTGTGCCTAGCAAAAAAAGAGAAACACTCATACAAAATGGAATCTTTTCGCTGTCTTCTTCATAGAAAAGGCACTTAACTACAATCATTTTCACTTGACGACAAACCATAATGTGCCCTTTTTGTGGTTCTCTTACGAAAACGGAAAAATAAAGAGGGAAAAAAAGAACGCAAGTAAATCAGAACAGGTTCAAAAGCAGTGCAGTAATACATAATCATGTTCGACGGGTAATAAAACTCGAAGAATCTGTTTGCTGTGCCTGTGTGTCGCGTGGGCTGTGCAGCGACAAGACAATAATTCCAGCTATGTCAATGCCATGCAAATGATAGTGCTCAATCTATGAAAGAAAAAAGAAGCAAAGTAGTCATTTCAATTGCATATTTTATACATGCCTTTTTGTTTGCCATCCTCCTGTTTAAGAACATTATCAGTCTTCGAATGAAATGTCAGCGTCGTCATGATGAATTGTAATTTTAATGTCTTTTGTGGAATAAATTTCCGAAAATTTAGCATGAAAATGAACAACGCATTCCAAACTCATAGAAAGGTTCAAATCACTTTAATCTATGCCATTCTTTGTGTGAGAGGCATAGACAACGCGTATTAGACATTTTGGTGGATATTAAGAAACAAATGCAAATGTTCTGGCTTTTAAAATTTACGTTAATTGGTCTCGCGTTTTTGGCCCACATTCTATTTCGGTATCAGAATATACTGATTAATTTGGTGTGTTTTGAATGTGAACACTTGCAGAAATCCTATTGAAATCAAAATTAAATGGAAAATGATTAAGGAACATATGATGATGGGACCTGGTGGGTGTTATTTTGGTAACTCAATTACACATAGGAAAAAATCGTTACTGGATCCAACAAAAAAGAATTTCTAATTTGCATCTAATGAAAATTGACGACTTGAATCATTGTTAGGTACATGAACTCAACTCAATTTGGGTATGGAGATGATGGGCTTATCTTTGAATCAAGAACAATTTCTTTTTATTTGGCAATTTAGTATTCAGTCAACCACTTGGAACGGCATTTGCCTGTCCGATTCCGCATTTCGTGGATGTATTTTTGATGAGATAGAGAGAGAGAGTGCTTTGCGTTCCCATGCATCTTGTTCAGGCAATCGTCAACAAAACGGTTGGTGGTCGGTGGAAAATGATTTTATCATGCTGATTTAATGATAGAAAGCTTTGCTTGAGTCAACAGCAGCGGGAAAGAGTGGCGAGTCTTTACGTGTAGGTGGTTAAATAATGGAAAATTGAATTTCAAATAGAATATGCAAATTTATAGTGTGTCATTCTCATAGCTCATTACAGAGCGGCAGTCTGTATGTGTCTGCCTGCCGTGTTCTGTGAATCAGCGAAGTTCATATAATTATAACACATTACGTCTTTCGGTGAATGGGCACTTTGGGACATCATTCACATTCCAATTCAATTCCATCGCTGTGTTCACTCGCTGCAGCACACACAAACACATAAACACATTAAAAGCGTATAAAATGTCATATAATAAAGACTTCATCTGCAGCATTTCTTCGTTCGAAGAATCATTGTTTATCGCTGTTAACGTTTAACGTGAAAATCGAGCTGTTAAATAAATCAATAAAGGGTAAATGGTACTATTTTGTTGTTTGTTTGCAGCCAAAATGGGAATGAAAGTAACCGGTGGTAATATTTTGAACATCACTGTCTCCATATTTGCAGACATTTTATTTTGCTTCCGAGCATTCGTTAACCAAAATTTATCGAGTTTTATCATGAATGGAACGAAAATCGACCAAATATGATGCGCATTCCATTTCGTTTGAATGAGACAGATGCAAGGACAGGACACTCTTAAGATGCGTTCAATATATATTGCATTTGTAATTTGAATTTAAGTTCATCGTTCGGACAAGAATTTACTAGCCATTTTTAGATGTGACGCTCTCAATTACTTTGACAGAGCTATGTGTTGGATGCAATTGCGACGCTGTTGACTGATAAACTAATGGGAATTGATGCGTAATACTGGAATACCAGTTAAATAAAAAGGACTTTGTGTCATTGCCAAATGATAACAGCAGCAGTAACAGCATCAGTAGCGACGACACTGCACATTCAGCAGCATATTTGACAGCAGTGTATTTATTTGTGTATGTCATTATGTCGTTTGATATATTCAAATATTCATGAGCTCTGTGAGCTATCTAGAGCTTATTTTACACCACTTGACACACATGAGCACACCAGCAGTGTACATTTTGTTACCCGTTCTACAGAACCACCCACACACATATATATGCACACATAGATTCTATTCTAGTTGATTGGAATGGAATGCACGATTGAGAAACGCATATTGTTGTCAATGCTGTCGCTTCATCTCTCACTCTCTCTTCCTTTTCCGTTTGTTTCTCCCTCTCTCTCCCTCCCATCCGACATCATCAATGTTGGTGCGCGTGATTGTCAGTACACAAAAACCAAGTATTTCATTTGTAGTTGATAACAGAGCAACGGAACATCCGAACCGCATGCTTGACAAGCCAGATAGCATGGGTTCTCAGCATTTCAATGGGAAAATGAAATATTTTTGAATGAAAAGTTAAGCATGGCAGAAAAAAGAACGAAACGAAGTAAACGAGCATATTTACCATCTAATGGTAACTATGCCAGACTCCAACACACGATATCTTTGCGAAGACAAAGTGATCGGAGTTCGGAGACAAAGGCACAACAAGAATGCTCATACACGCGCTATTATGTGAGACATAATTTTGAATGAATTATTGCTTCGCAAAAATTAGATTTTTTTTCGGCTTGATACGACAAAGGAATACCAATTTCCTAAAAGGAATGCCAAATGTAATGTTTGAATATTTCAAGCAAACGTTCTTTTTTCGGCTTTTGTAAACAGGCAACAAAAACGGAAAAAAATTTCCATTCGCGTTGAAACTCACAACAAATATTATTTTTTGTTGGGGTTTAATGAATTTTTTTCTTTGGCCTCGGGTCTATCCTGGCTTAAACATCTTACGGTTTTATCACTTTTACGATTGGCTTGTTTTGCTAAAACAGCAGATAGCTGCGCTTTTTGCCAGAATTACATTCTCGTTTCGTTTATATATTTAAGTGAAACCGGTAATACTTCCGACCTCTTTTGCATGAACGAATGGAGATTGATGGTGTAGAAACTTGTTTCAGAATCAGAATATCACACACGCGCGCGCACACACATCGATTCCATTTGAGGCTCTACATTCCATTATTGTCGAGGGTTCTTGATCAGCTCACAGATTCCACAGCTGGCGTGATGGGACCCGAGTGAGTTTGAATATTCAAATTGGTTGTGGCGTATGCTTTCAAGTGTAGAAATGCAATGAACAAGTTAATCCAGTGAGAAGAGGAGATAGAGACAGAGACAGAGACAGAGAATAAAATAAAATATAAGAAAGTCTACGTATGTCAAATGACAACAGAGAATGAAACACAAGCTGTAACATCATATATGAAAATTGATTTCAAAATGAAAGGATAAAAACGAACATTTTTCTTTTCCTCTCCAAAAGCATGTACATATCATATTCAATTCGTTGCGGCAAAAACCAGTCCATACATTCGTCGAAATGTGTTAGCACGACCTGAGGGAATCCGGCTGTAGAGTATTCATTATTTTTCATTTATGTCTTAAATT